GCTATCGCAAGTCGAATATGATCACGAATGTCACCTGACTAGATAAGCCCAAATCTCTATTTACCTTTATCATTAAACAGCACATAGACTTCAAATATACGAACCATCTTGGACTCTTATAGGAAGCCTTCCAGAAATTCTATATAGTTTCTTGAAAGCAGCAATAATGAAATTTATGTGTAATCTGAGAGTTCAAAACTCAAAGTTCTCTACTATGATTATAAATTCTAAAGAAATATCTCTCTACCATTACGTAAAACTACAGACTACTGATTGACTGGGGTAAGTAGTGGCACACCACTCATATCAACCAGTGGTACGTGCTAACCAGCCGCACTGAAGTGGTGTAAACGCCTGACATCCGTTTTGCTCGTTTGTGGATAAACTCATCAGTGATGTAACCCGTTTGATACGATGAAATTTCACTAAGGTTTCCATTTGGATACAGAGATTATACAGATCACATTATTTGGTCTACTTGATACCAGAAATGGCAATCAAGAAAACGAGTATAGATGTACGAAGCTACATACTACTAATTCTCTGGGATGAGTAGTTTTATATCACTCACAACAACCAAAGGAAACGTTAGTGAAATTTCACCTCGAAATGTGTAAATGACTAGTTAATTTTGGAAGTTTCGAATTCCAGTGTGCGTGTTTCAGTTTTTTATCGAACAGAAAAGACTTTTATGGAATATCCCTCACCTTAATTCCCTAGAGTTCTGATTCCATTCCCTATGGGGCATTTCCCTACTACACCTAATGGCTGACTTAGGTCTTTGAGTGGGAATTCATCTCGAATATTCTGTCTTCCGTGTTATGCATCTAAGAATCTCTATCCATAAATATCCATAAATTTCTTTATGCTGGTTATACGTTTTCAAAATTCCCTCCTTAATTGTTATGTAATTAGACAAACACTTTTATTTTGCACAACGGAATTTATCTTCTAATGTCTGACTTCATTAGTAACTCCCAGTAAGTGGGGATTTTGAAACAACTGCTTAATTTTGCATATAACTGCACAACAAATGACGAAATTCTAAGAGGTGAGAGATATCTTCTTATTGAAAACTTATGTTCAAAAACCCAAGAGTCCTCTAGGATGTGTTCAACTCACGAAGGAATTAAAACAATAACGTATACACTACTAGTACTAAACAGAACATTGCATAGTACAGATGAGATAAGCTATTTCACAGTCATATAAAATATTCTCTGTAAATGTTAAAACTATAAAGAAGTTCAAGTGAAATAACACAGGAAATTGTGTGGAGCAAAAATAATAAAAAATAATAATACGAATTTTAAAAGAAAAAGACTGTTAGATTATGTTATTTTATGTCTTCCTAAAAATCATATCCTGCAAAACACGATTTACAATGTTAGAGTATTATCATAAAATATTTCACCTAAATACTATAATAACACAATAATAATGATAAGAGGCAGATCATTATCAAAACAAGAAAGAAAAATGAACAAAAATCCTGTGAGAAATGTAAATATTTTGACTACATATAGATATCGTGTTTTTATGCACAACTGGCCTTGGCTGCTTTGATACATTCCGCGTCATTTCCTTGTTCTAGTAGGAAACATTCTTACACATGATACACCTTTGTTGATAATTATCAGAACTTCATGCAATAAATTGATAGATGGTGACTGGTAGTTGAATCGAGGTTGTTCATTCTATCCTGTTTTGGACTAGTCAACTCGATGTAACTGCACCCCCGCTCCAGTGAGTGATGTATTTCCCACTGGGGTTCAAATCCCCTACTCGTGATTTCAAGGCGTTATCCACTAGACCAATACGTACATAATAGCCACCTGTTGTGCAAAGGATATCAGTAATTATTTACTACACAAGGGATCGGTCTTAGGTTGACATGTTAGCGCCTTGTGCATAAACTTTGACGATGTCCTGGCGGAATCCAGGATGTGAATTTTATCATATTTGCCCAAGAGGTGGCTCTCGTGGACCAAGTGGTCAAATGGGTAACACTTTGGCATATGAAACCATTGTTAGTGGGTTCTAGCCCTGGTGGGAACAACACCACCCACTAGGGAATACAGGTACATCTGAACGACCAGTTCAAAATAGAGCGAAATGCACATCCTGGATTCCATCACTAGTCACCATCCATAAATTTACCTCAGGTGAAATAATCAAACATCCTCAAGGCATCTGCACAAGGAGCCGACATTTAAACTTGATGCTGAGAACTTCATTTGGTTGCGGTCTCAGTAGGAACACAGTCCCAAACTAGGGATCCGGTTGAAAAGCCCCAAATTAGACGAAACGAGTAAGTTAAATTCTAGTCTACATATAAACAGAGACAGAGCCTTGCAGTACAACATATTATCAAACAACGGGAAACACAAATTAAATTACACGATTTAATAATATATTCAGATTATGGGTTTTATAGAGAGTGGGGTTAATTTCACCGCGGATTTCATCAGGAAGTACTATCAGTTACACAATAATTGAAAACCACGAAGCAATAAGTAAATATTTCACCCTAGTTTGGGGCTCTTGGACAATCCAAACCCAGGCTCTAACAAGCGTCTGAACCTTTGAACTCTAAATTCCTTTACTTCATCTCAGAGAGGAATGAATGTTAATCGATGACATTGGTCAGATAGTCAATAAATCCGACTCAGGGGTCCAATAGTCAACGAGCGGGTTCATCTATTTCAAATTTTTGAGTTCTGTCGTTGGTTGGGTCATGGATTCACGTTGTTGAGGAGTTCCAAACCAGGGTGAAACATCTTTCCAGTGCTCCAGGGTTTTCAGTAATTCTCTTACTGTTGATGGTTTGTGATGAAATCTAATAATTTTTCATAATAATTTTTCCTTCACGTTCCCAGTGTAACATATGGCTTCAAGTTTCTGTAGCAGTGTTTATTTTTTACAGGATGGGGTTGCTGGCCTCATCCCCAACCTTTCCTCTCTACTAGCATTATTTCTGGCTTGGCGAGGCAAATGAGCGCGTTGTCCGGGGATCGAACCCCGGCCCATGTGCATGATCCGCGAGCGTCCTAACCGCTGTGCCACCAACGCACGTGATAAAATCTACGGTAAAATTAATGCTTAAGCACGTTTCTATCAGCTTCACACTTGTACCTAATTTTTAGTTTTATGTAAAACTTTTGTTACATTCTGTGGGAGATAAATGATGGTCGTTCTGTCTGTCAGATGTTTTGCAGAAACCTTATCTAAATATAGAATGTACATTAAATTTTATGAGGTACACATCGATAGTAGCAAAATCGTGCCATTTACAATAGCTGTTTTCAGGAGTAGAGATTTTTTTAAATAAATGGAAGAGTAACTTTTCACCTAACGATCTTTTTTTCTTCTAAGTGAATAAATTTTTAAAAAATACTTCTCCAATCTAACTATATAGAATATAATCACAATGACTGTAGAGTTAAACAGTCGTTTAACATATCTACTCAAGAAGGATGACTTTATAAACTACTTAGCCGACAGTTGGCGTGACCGATGACACTTTACCGAAACAGTGATATTCTACAATTTTTTTTGGTGAAAATCTTCTTATATACATATTCATGTCGTCATTAGAAAAAGAAAGAAATAATGATATATTTAGTTAACTAAGAAGGTTATATTGAATTGCTTTCTTTAAAATGTAGCAACTTAATATCCTTTATGATATTTAATCCCCTCCACTACTGGACGAAAGTGAATTGTCAGTTTACTGTACAACAGACTGTAGTCTTGGTATGAAATAGCAGAATTAAACAGAAGTCTGTGAACTTGATTTTTGAGTGGACGGAGGGTTTCATAATGAGCTGACATCAGTTAGAGAACCCCTGGAAAACCTGGAAGTACTGGACAGCTGTTTCGTCCTAGTTTGGGACTCTTCACAGTACGCACCCACCGACAGGGATAGAACTTACCACCTTCCGGTTACAAGGCGAGCTCGTATACCATTATTCACCGGGACCCTATCCAATGGTCAGCCCATGAACTCTAATTGATGTCAGCTCATGATGAAGTGCTCCATTCAATCAAACAAAATCCCTAAAATATCAATTATAGAAATTTAATCTGATGCTCACTAGCGACTGGCCCTATTCAGGCAGTGACCTGAGGTTCTAGTGGGAAGCCGTGAGAAGTAGAGTACAGCAGGTTGAAGGTGAAGCGTAACTCATCAAGGAAGACATTTAGAAGTAGTGGCCCTATGTCATGAAGTGGTAGAAGTTAGAATTCATGGGCTGACCATTGGATCGGGTCCCGGTGAATAATGGTATACGAGCTCGCCTTGTAACCAGAAGGTGGTAAGTTAGATCCCTGTCGGCGGGTGCGTACTGTGGAGAGTCCCACAATAGGACGAAACAGCTGTCCAGTACTTCCAGGTTTTCCAGGGGTTCTCTAACTGATGTCAGCTCATTATGATATCCTCCATCCAATCAAACAAATTCCCTACAATACAATGTTATGTACTGGTCGAGTAATTAATAGTCCTGACGCAAGAAGGCGGAAATCAGAAAACCACCAGGTTCACGATGATACTTGTATTATTTCTCAAACAAGGAAAATCAATGTCACACAAGTGTATGAGCGAATGTTCAAAAATGAACGAATCAATAGACGGTCTGAACATGATTGGCTGTAATGTCATGTGACAACAAGGTCAGACATGTTTGTTTAGTTAGTGGACAGACAAAAACATATTGTCAATTAAAATGGAATATCGATCCATATATACATAGCAAAATATAACAGACTTTCAAAACAAACACACATATTATGTGGATACATATCATACCAATACTGCAAAACTTAATTTCTGGACATTTCAGCTGAGTCATCTGTGCTGAACTGTCACCTGTCAAACGATAGATAGGCTTCATTCTCTTGAAATTCGATACTAACATATGAATCTTATGTTATGTTCATTCACATTCATAGATATGATAAACTGTAGACATTACTGTTTTAAATTCGTATTTTTTTCTCAGATGTGCAACTGGTGAAAACTGGCAAGAAATTATGCTTGACTGTGCAGCTGGTAAAGAATGTGAAGGATCTGGGGAATCATGTGGAAGTTCCTATACATACTTATACTTTGCAACATTCAACTTTTTATGCTCATTTATTATGTTGAATTTATTCGTAGCCGTTATTATGGATAATTTTGATTATTTAACCAGAGATTCTTCTATACTTGGTCCACATCATCTTGATGAATTTGTACGTGTTTGGGCTGAATATGATCCTGGAGCAAAGTAAGTAAATGTTAAACCATACAGAGTTAAATATATTTTATCTGAAAAGATGTTATTTCATCGCAGATATCAGGGGACGTATGTTTCAAACCAAGATAAATTCGAATTCAAAGGCCGCTGGATTCAGACTCATTGAGTAAATGAAGAATAAATTTGGGGCCACACTTACAGGGTTCCATATGGGGCTAATTCTTATGTGTGCGCTGCTGGTCTGTCCAAACAGGAAAGAAAATTCTTCCGATATCTCTCAGTCTCCAACACTACCCTTTCGTAGAGATATCCACCTCTAAATTAATCAAATCCACACAAACGCCACATTCGAGAAATGTAATTCTCAGATATATATATGTACATATATATATATATATATATATATTGGTCTATAAGTACACTTGTAGGAATTCAGTTATTTGATCTGCTTCAACGCCAGTGAGCTGACTTCCTGGTCAAATTCAAGCAGAAATGACTCACGTGACCGTTGTGAGACTATGTATCCTGCTAGACCTAACCTATGGCCACACTGCCTGCCAATTCCTTAGCCTGATCCGCCTAACCTGGTGACCAGGTTTCTGTTAAAACTGTCACGACTCGTGAGGGGAGAATATGAAACTTGAGGCTGTTTAAGGATTTACATGTTAGTGACAGTATAAAGGAAAAATGAAGATGCACAGTTAAAGCATAACGCAACAACTACGCTTTCATCGATGCGATTCACCTAGCGTAGATAAACAAATTAATCAATAACGGAGAAACGTCTAAGGTTCAAGTTGATTTGACCAGTTTCTTTGATTGCATACAAACTTATCAAAAGTTTATAAACCGGAACTCAGAAAAACTGTACGATTTAATTTCAAAGTATCCTTAATACAATATCGATTCGGACCATTTCTAACATGAGGTCAAGTATCTGTCGACTGTAGTATTAACAAATTGACTTAGTAGTACACCATTTGTCATAGTGATGATCTTTAATACACTGAAAAGAATTACATAGTCCTTTTTGAGCAGACCTGGAACGACTAAGGGGGCAGTGAACTACTAAGGGTAATATGCAAGAGTTTACAGGCTGTAAAGTAGAGGCTGAGCGATTCCTGATTGCCTTAACTTCTTAATGAAGTAAGCTAGACGGAACATCTTCTTAGAAATCAACAAGATATTGGATAACCAAGAAAGGTCAGAGAATAGAAGTATTCCAAAGTATTTTGTGCTTGACTTACTTTCTATTTCGATGACATCTAAGATACAATCTTCTTGGAAACCGCCCAGTTCTTGTAGATCATATTAGTGGTCTGACATTCAGAAGGACTTAAGGTAGGGCCATTCAGCTTACACCACTCGTTTATGTAATACAAAAGACTACTAAGTTTTGAATAGTCAGATTGGTGGGTAATTGGCAATGAAAAAGTCAGATCATCAGTGTATTTAGCCAAGTAGATTTCTTCTGAAAGCGGCAAGTCATGTAGGAAGAAGGAAAAGATGAAAAGAGACGAACCGGCACCTTAAGAGACTCCAGCCTAATCCAGCATGGCAGAGGAAGATTTACCCTAGCTCTCAATGATCCTTATATTCAGACCTGTTGTATCACTAAATGTAATAAAGTTGAGCTCAACATCTTAACTGCCTACATTTCTGTCACAGAAGTATCAGCAACAGCATAAATTTTAATATGACGTGTAGTAATATGCCTAGAATACTAGTATTAACATGAAATATTCATACGGGTTGTAGTTACCCCGAAGATATAATTATTACTTAATTTCAAGCGGAAAATCCTGTTTATCCTTTTTTTAGAGGTGTTGAACAATTTTTAGAACAAATATAATTGGAGAGAAACACCTTATACTTTGTTGGTAGTCGTTCACATTATCATATTCATGTGAAGACAAAGTTCAGTAAAAAACAAGCAATCAATAGAAAATTCTAAGGATTTAACATTTTCCAGATATTATTCGAAGTATTCTTAATTATGATAATTATGTCACAAGTGTTGAAAGCGTTTATCTGACAAGTGAATACTCATCAGCAAGGCCTAACAAAACTATACATTCTTTTGCTAGATACCTTGAAATATGCTGAAAACTTTAGTATAATAGAAGTGAAAGTCTCTCTTTAGTTAATATTATTTGATGAAGATATTTCAACGGCACTTTAACCACAATTTTAAGAATAAGTTGAAGAGTAATTAGTCGAAATCTGTTTTATAGATGATTTCGGCTGAGAGGATGTTTCCAGCTTAAAACGTGCACCTTGAGTAGTCATAGATTCTACCCTTTAATGTAGTCAAGATCAAAATATCTGAATCTACAGATGCAAACGAAAATGAACTATGTAAGTGTCATTAAGTTCATTAATACAAATTTCCAGCATAGTTTTAATCGACTACGTGTGGCATGATGCAGTATGTTTGAAGCTCCGCTTTATATAGGTCTCATCAAGCTTATTATGAAATTTAGTAGTCATGAATTTTATGTATTATTTGAAATCTTTATCTAATGAAAGTGGATGAAAGCACACACTTGTATCTCCACGAACTGTAGCCAACTAGTAGTTAGGCTGATAATTAGCTTTCACTAAACTATTAGTAGTTTGAATGTCTTCATAACTGATTCAGAACATGAATGATTGATTTTAACAGTAACATCATGCTTAGTACTTTCCACAACTGTCATTTGTATCGTTAACCATAAAGCGTTTTATATTTGTTTAAATAATTTCAAAAAGCTTTCTGTACGACGAAGTTGAAGACTTTATGAGATACAATTAGTAGAAATTAGCCAGATTACGGTTGATTTGAACTGATTCAGCTTCTGTGCTGAGTCTTAAACGAGCACACTGCTGATGAACCTGGCCTGAACGGGTGAAACTGCATCATTACAACCGTTTGTTTAAGAAGCAATAACTATCGGTGTGAGCTGTTTATACTACTAATATCAACCAACGGTGTACCTCATTATTTATTTATGTTTGCTGTCTTGATTACAACTCATGGTATCAATCAGAAAATATATATTGTGATTTGAATAATCATTCTGCCTTCCAAAGGAAGGTGTGGTAGGTCCTTACCTTGAACAGTTTAATTAACAAACTCAGAATTTGATACATCTGGTTCTTTTCTTTTTTTTCTATAATATAGGGGTCTTATTCATCATCGTGATGTATATGAAATGCTGAGGAATATGGAACCACCAGTAGGATTTGGCAAGAATTGTCCTTATCGTCTGGCCTATCGTGTAAGTGTTTTTTCAGCCTTAGTTAAATCGTATACATTTTAAAGTGAACAATGAACAGTTTGAATGATTAATACGTTCTCACGAAATTGTATAAATAATAAAGAAACCTTAACGTTGAAAACATATCAAGACTTTAGAAAGAGAAATTCATATTTTAGAAGTAAAAATCAGCATCTCACATACATTCTCTCGTAAATTAATTCTGGTAGAGGAAAACAAATGAATGTATTACTGTGTTTCGTTATTTTGGACCGAGAAATTATGGTCTTTTAAGATGGATTACATCTCCGAACTGGTAGCATTTAGAGAGCTGTTGAAAACGAGGAAGTACTCAACATCTGTTTCGTACTAAATGGAAATATCATCATTAGGCAACAGCGAATTAGCTGAAAATCAAAACCAAAACCTTCAGGTTACAAGGTGGACACATTGCAAACTAGTAACCTGGACAGAATCAGTTGGTTTATGAGTTTTAACTTCTACCAGTTTACGACAGATAACATCACTGTATATTATTGTTATCGTTTAGTGTCTGTCCTCACACCTAACCTGATGGACTCCATTTGCAGGGAATGGGTTCTATTCTCGGTGGAACGATGGGTGTGTGTGTGGCTATAGGATCTTAAACTATGACGAAGTAGCCTCCCGGTACTCTCTAGTGTTTAATGGTCCTCTAACAGATATTGGTTAACAATAAAGTACATAAAGTCTCTACAAATCATCCCTTGAAGATAAAAACCTTTTGTTTAATTTGGCTACGAATGAGAAAATATCAGTTAGAAGAACAATCTGTAGGCGATCTTATTATTTTTGCTGAAAGCTTACGTAAATTTCTTTTTTTATGTTAAATGTTTGAAACACTTTATCAACTTATCGTTATCAACAAACGAGTCAGCAGTGATACATGATTTAGTGCGGATAAACGCATAGCTTTTACTTATTGAGTGAATAATTTTAAATTGAATAACTGTTAGGAAGAAATTCTTGTTAATTTTTCTAGTTCAAAGTTCGCCTGAGTCTGTTTTCTAAATGTCTAATGGGGATTTTTTCTATTAGGCACATATCCAAATTTTAGCACTCCAGCATTCAGGAAGCTGGACTGATTCAACACTCCAACTTGGCAGATGGTGTATGTCAGTGGGTTGCAGAACAAACATTTCGGTGTATTTGGTATTCGTCAGATGAATGTACCTGCATTCTCCATGAAAGTTGGTGTTTCATATGAGACTCAAACCCAGTGCCCTTGGTTTCAAACGCCAAGGCGTTATCCACCGAATATTGCACTCGATTAAATTAAAATGAGAATATGAACTGACCTAAATATCTGAGACCTCTTGCGCAAGAGATAACCCAAATGGTCCAGTGGATAGAACGGTATGGAGGGATACTAGGTTCTAGTCTCAGTGGTGACAACATCACTCACTGGGTATAGCTGGTACATTCAGACGGAGAACCCCAGATAGGACGAAATGCTCAGCGTGGATTCCATTGTTAATCACCATTAAACAAAATAATTTTTCATAGTTGGAAAATAAAATAGACGTTACATGTCTTATTTCCGTCTAGTGTTAAACTAACTATTTTTTCCATTGTGGATAAAGTTTTATTTTTGTAAGCATAATTATAGACTTAGGATTTAGAAATATAAATAGTACTTCAACTGTCAATTCCTGCCCCGTCAACAAGTATTTGATCATATTCATTAGCACATTGTCAGTTAGTAATTAAACATTTGTGAACCGATTTCAGATAGCTGTCGGTTAACGGAAAATTCAACTTGTCACAGGATTCACACTGACAGGATTTCATTTATTCCTTTGACAAACAATCAACTCAGCTGCGACCATAAGTCTAAAAACAAAAAGTTGCTTAAACTAGGCATCTTGTCAGTCAGTTACAAACCCTCCTCTATTACACAAAGTAATGTGAGGCGAATCTTGTGTTTGGTGCAAAAAATTAGTGACTGATTTCAAGCTCATTAAGTGAAATCCTCACAATGTAAGGATGGTTAACGCTATTCATTCGATCAGTATTCTTTTTGACACTACTATCCTTCCAGAAAAATGCCTCACTTAATTACACATGATGAGTTTGAGGTATTTACACAGTAAACAATAGCACCTACTTAGAATTATATAACGTGTGGATTTTGGTGTTTCCCAGTTGCTTTGGAAGTTGCTCATTTCATCATATTTAGTAGTCATTCAGTATATAGAAATATAAGCATGTGTACTGATGGTTCACTCGTATAATACTCACCAACCAAGCACGTAGTCCGGTTTCCAGTCGTCTGCTAACCCGCCCCTCAACCGTTTTAGCCATTAGTAAACCCAGCATAGAGGGAAGATTGAGTGTAAGGCTAGCAAATTCACCGAGTAAAAAGATAAACACAAGTGCCACTTGAAAGCTCAAAAACTTGAAACCCTATGCTCTACTCATGAAGCATAATATCAGTAAAATATAAAACGTGAGCATAGCTCAACATGTTAAGTACTTTAGAACACCCCATTCTCCAAGCTGAATGACTCCAGATGCCAAATATCTGTAGACGAATATCAAAATCTAAGACCGGTTGAATAAGTGTATTGCAGTTACATAATCAGATAAAAAAATTAATGAATGAGTTGTAGTCATAAAAACTAGCGAAAATGTGGTATTATGTAAGAGTTAAAAATAAAAAGAAGAGTTAGGGTGGTTTAGACTGCAAAGATTCGATCTGGTTTCATTATAATGAAATTGAATCATACTTTACCACAGCACCCAGTTTCTATTCCTCTATTCAAACTAGGTATTCATTTTAACCGACTTAATTTCCTTTGATCTTTTTTTATCTCTTCTAACTCTTCTGTTACGTTTGAACTCTTACATCATATTACATATTTCATTGTTACTATTTGCATCCGAATTACTCATCTCATAATTTATGTTTATCTACACCCAGTAAGGTGTGCACTGAATCAGTGACTGTAATTTCAAATAGTACATGACAGTGTCATGATAAATAAAGCTTATTGGATTTTCGATACTATCGGACCGTTTACCTCTAACCAACTATAATTTTATTCCGATCACTTATGGTAGTAAACGACTGTTTCCTACGCTTAAAGTTGCCATAACTTATGCAGAATAGAGATTTACACAGGTTATAATACATGAATTTACAACAAAAAAAGGATTAAAAGGGGATTTTAAAAAAGTACACATACAACGAAACTGAAATTTCAAACATAGTGACAATGAATAAACCCTCCCAATGTTAACCCCTTCTTTGAAATTCAGATCACAATATACCAGAAGATTATAATTGCTGTAAAAACAAGTGTTGTTTGCGTAGCACTGTGAATTCACAAAGATTTACCTTTTCTGACAGGTGAAATGCTTCATTTCTACTTGCTTATAAAAAAAATATTTTACTGAACAAAGTTTTTATAAGAAAAAAAAGCTTTCTTGACACTCTTCATTAAATAAGTAGTATATGTTTCTAACAACAAAAATGAATTGGAAGGGAGATAAAATTGTTTTTGTTATTCATATTTGTTTTTTCAGTCATATTTATGCATCGAGTTAACTCATTCTGTCTTCTGAATTAAAAATTTACAAAATATTCTCAAAATAGAAAAAAAATAAGTTAAAACAAGAATGAAGATTATTTCAATGACTAAAATTGTTTTTACAGAGGAGAATTTCTCTTAAGAAAGAAGGCTTATTGGATATCTGAATGTGTCTTGTTCCCAGTCCTGTGTTTACTGCTGACTGAATTCTATCAGTCAGGTTTGTGATGTGGCCAGCATGCTCGGCGGATCACCATCAGAATTGTTGTTATTGGATAGTTGGAGGCGATCGGCAGAAAGCTCTGAACCTAGATTTTATGCTTACTGGCATTTGTCTCATACAATCCTACAGGAGGTCAGTCGCAAGTGAGAATAGTTCAGTGGCCACGTCTCTGACTGCAGGACTGGGTGAAGCAGGTTTGAATTTTGGCACGGCCATAAGTTCTTTCAAGGTTGCAGATACGCCTTGCTGACTGGTGAGTGTCAACTAGCATGAAACCTGAGGTGTGAGGGTTTTTGTTGATCGTCTAAAACCATCTAATAACAACAATCTAAATGCTTAATAATGATCAGTGCATTGAGTATATTTTATTTGTTAAAATCAAAAAGATACCTTTCTGAGAAGTTTAAAGAAGCTGTTATTTGACTGCACATCATTTTTTGTGTACTAAATTAAATAAATGGAGCCATACAAAGTGGAAATGGCACCTGTCTTAACTTATGAAACATGAAGAATGTGATTGGATAAGTTGTTTTATTAATTAATTTTGACTTCTATGCTTTTTGGGGCTGATCTCTGCCATTCACATAACACCATCGAAAATACTATATCCTGGTTCCATACAGAAGTTACCTAAAGCTTTGTGACTAATTGTAACCATCTGGGTCCATCAAGTCAGATAAGATAACAGTTATTCTCTAACGACACTCGCTGGTGTTTGCGCTGAATGTATCGTAAATTTGCAGGAGTTGGAATTCTCCGTCGATTGGATTAGGCCGCAGTGACTGAATGGTCTACAAGCTCGCCTTGTAACCGGATGGTCCTGGTTCCAAACCCCTGCCAGCGAGGACTGATGAAGAGCCCCAAACTAGGATGAAACGTATGTCTAGTACTCTCCAGTTTTCGAATGCATCTCAAAAAGATGTCGTGATGATTCAAATCCCTGCAAACCAACACGTGATCATCATGTTCATTTAATTTTGACCTTCTGTCACTGTGTCTAATTACATGTTATTTGTCGTTAAGTTAACTCTTGGGAGTAAGACATGTATGAACTGAGATTCTAAGCCTATTGAGATTCAAACCACCAGAGCGGTATCTTTAATAAATTACTTGTATTCTCTGCAAGATGCATGGAGTAAAAGACTGAAAATATAAATAACAAAAAATAAAACACAATTTTGACTTCTAAGGGGAAATCACCGCCAGTGAAAATTAAGGTCAGATAT